CAACAGCGAGAGGCCCGCGTACCGCAAAAAAAAAAAAAAAAAAATTAAGGATGGGTGATAATGAGAAATGCAGTAGGAATTCAGAGAAAGAAAAGATCATGGAAAATCAGAGTACCTATGGAAAATCTAAAGAGGCTGGGACTTGAGCTGAGTTTTTTTTAAAATGGTAAAATGTTAGTAACAGAGAGTCAGGGATGTGGAGGAGAAGGTACTACCAAAATAAAATAAATAATCAGAATAAATACACAGGAAGAAGAATGAGAGGTATAAACCTGTGCCCCAGTGCCAACCACAAAATGAATGTGCGATAAATATCTGGTACATCCATGAAAAAGGGTGCACACTAGGGAAAGGAAACAAGACTCCGTACGTAGAATAGCTCACATTTTAGAGATCCTTGAAATCAAAATGAAGACTGGATTTCACACAGTTGCAGGGCAAGGCTTCTAGAGCTGGAGTTAACGGCAAAGCCACATTCTAAGATAAGGTGGCAGTAAGCCAACTGACAACATACAGAGTAATCAATCAGCTACCCGCATAAAAATATAGTTACACACACACACACACACACACACACACACGACACGACATATACGACACACACAGCAGCATCGCCACAGACGGAAATGAGACGGGACCTGAACTCAGGAGGGAGGTCACGAGAGCTGGAGTAGGCATCCACTTAATACTCGTAGTACAAACAAACAAGCGCTGAATGAATTCTCAACAACACTTACGGAGTAAGAGCCAGTCTCCCATGTGCTAACTCACCTGGTCCTCTTGAAACAAAATGCCTTTCTGGGCATTTATTCGTTTAAACAGATCCCCTCCTTCACAGTAATCCATCACTATGTAGAGAGAGCCATTTTCTAAAAAATATAAACGTTACAGTCCATTTTTTAAAATGTACATCAAAAGCATAGCTACATTAAAGGTACCTAAAGGTTTACTAAAAAGCAGCAATTAATTAAATACGTTCCACTAAACTAAAAACAGAACCACAGCCAGAAGAACTGAAGTGCAAAGTCAAGGTTTACTGGTCGTACAGACTGTGCGGTAACTTGGGTTAACAGGCAACTCCATCATTAATGACTTTTCTGCCAAGAATATACCATCGCATTATCCACACTGACATAAACATCTCTGCAATATGGACAAAATGCAGACAGATATAGTTGATTTTATTTAATAGATATATTTCCTTAAACATCAACTATAAAAATCACATTTTTCCACTCATTTGTCAGAGGTGGGTAACCTTGGTTTTTAGCTGACCATTACTTTCCAGCTTTATTTCATCCACTTAATTACCTGTTAAACAAACAGTAACAGATGCTGCAATGAACTGTCAGGACTCAACAGTGAGACAGTCTCTACTCTCCTGGAGCTCTCTTTGTAGTGATATATACTCTGTGAACGAACATGAAGATGGGGCACTTCCCTAATCACCTGTATGCCTCAGTCCACAGGATAAAAGACTTCCATGACCCTTCCTGTGGTAGACAGGATGAGAAGAACACTTCTAATCCTTCTCTCCACCCTCGCTCTTCCATAAGACTAAGACCACACCACTTCT